GTTGTTTTAAAAAATAAGAATTTGTTGTCTCACAGTTTTAGAGGCTAGAGGTGCAAACCAGGGAATTGGTTCCTTAGTGGCAGCTCTGGAAATATCTTGGTGTTCCTTAGATTGTAGACAATTCATCACATGATCTCTTCTCCTTATGTCTCTGTTTTCCTTTCTTATAAGAAAGACACCACTCAAAAGAGACAATATTTAGGACCTACCCTACAAGTGAATGGTTTCATATCAGAAAAGGTATGTGGCAAGGTTGTATCACTTCACTATACTTATTCAGTCCATGTGCTGGTATTATATGAACAAGAATGTGGCATCAGGATTGAAGGAATAGTCATTAACAACCTGCCATATGCAGATGAAGAAACTTTGTTTGTTGGAAGTGAAGAAGATTTGCAACAACCACTGATGAGGACCAGAGACTACAGTCTTCATTATGGGTTGGACCTCAATGTAAAGAAAACAAAAATACTCACAACTGGGCCAATAAATAACATCATTATAAATGGAGAAAATATTGAAATTGTCAATGACTTAATTTTGCTTAGATTTATAATCAATGCTCATGAAAGCAGCAATGGAGAAATTAAATGACGTATTACATTGGATAAATCTTTTGCAAAAGACCTCCTTAAAATATTAAAGAGCAAAAATGTCACTGTAAGGACTCAGGAACACCTGACCCAAGCCATAGTAGTTTCAATTGCCTCAATGAATACGGAAGAATAAATGCGTTTTAATTATGGCATTGGAGAAGAATATTGAAAGTACCATGGACTGCCAGAAGAACAAACAAAATCTATCTTGGAAGATGTTCAGCCAGAATACTCCTTAGAAGCCAGGATGGTGAAGCTTTCTCTCAGGATGGTAAAACAGGGGACCAGTACTTGGAGAAGGACATCAAACTTGGAAAAGTGGAGGGTCAGCGGAAAAGAGGAAGGGAGCAGCAACTGGCTGAAACACCACAATTGTGAGGTTGGTGCAGGACCAGGTAAGGTTTCATTCTGTTTTGTAAAGTGTTGCTATGAGTAGGAACTGACTCCAGGCACCTAGCAACTATGCTAGTGTGTCCACATCAGCATGACAAAATAAATCTCTATTTCCATATTAACAGATATAGGGGTTTGAACTTTATCCTAACTTTTTGGTGGACAATTCAATCCAGCACAGATGGGTTACTTTTAGAGAAGTGGTCATTATAGGAAATGAGAGTTCTAGAAGCATGGAAAAAAGATATTTAGGGGAAATTAAATACTAATTGGCAGTTTCTTTAGCTAGGTAGTTGACAAAGCACTTTGTACATTATTTCCTTTTATTCTCATAACGACCTCATGAAGTAGCTTCCATTATCATCCTGTTAACAGAGGAGGAGACCAAGGCTCTTTAAAGCAAGTGACTTGCCCAGGATTTATAGCTTCAAGGACAAATGAAAGGATTCTGATTTTGTTATCATTGTTGTTAAGTGCCAGGGATTTGATACTGACTCACTGTGACCCTGTAGAGGGTTTCTGAGGCTGTAAATCTTTATGGGAACAGAAAGCCTTATCTTTTCCTGTGGAGTGCCTGGAAGATTCGAACTACTGACCTTCCAGTTAGCAGCCCATCTCGTAGTCCACTACACTATCACAGCTTCTTTGACTACAGATTAGAAAACCCAATTGGGCAATTTTACAGAGGGTTGCTAGGACTTCTGGTGTGGTGCTGGACAGTGAACCACAAGGTTGGCAGTTCAAACTCACCAGCTGCTCCTTGGAAATCCTTACAGGATAGCTATGGGTTGAATTGACTCAATGGCACTTAACAACAACAACATAGGGTTGCTATGAGTGTGAACTGACTTGATGGCAATAGACTTAAAACAATGTTTGTTTGTTTTTTTGAGGAAGAGAAATTCACTATTGGGATTGATTACAAAAGCTAAGAAAGATTGAGTTTCAAGATGGAAAGACTAAATTTCAAGAAGGTCGATGGTGTTGATTATGGTAAACATGTTGAGAGAGGTGAAAGCTGAGCACTAACTCTTGAATTTAGTGTTGGGTTGCTCACTAGTGGCCTTTCAGAATTCCTGCAAAGTGGTTGAGGAGGAGGTTTGGGTGGGAGTTTTTCCTGGTCTTCCCAGGTCAATAAATCCACCTGATTACTCAAGCACTGTTTCTCTTCCTCTGCTTTTCTCCACTTCAACTTCAATCCTAGAGAGCTTCATAATTTTCTAAGACATAGCCAGGATCTGATATAATTTAGAAAATAATTATTTATCCTGAATTCTGACAGCCATGGTAGGTGAAACTTTGCAAGTGTTTTACTCTTAAGGATCTATTTAGCAACTCCTTTTCAGAGTATATTAATTCTACTAAGTTTATTCTCACTAATTTATATTTCAAAACATGAGATATATGGTCCATAAATCCTGGATTCACCCAGTGTGTACATTATAATCCCGGTAAGCACGAAGCGTATGATTTAAATCACTGTAAGGAACCCTGGTGACACAGTGGATAAGCTCTCAGCGGTTCAAACTCACCAGCCTCTCTGTGGGAGAAAGATGTGGCCGTCTGCTTCCTTCCGTAATGCTTTACAGTCTTGGGAACACTTTGGGACAGTTCTACTCTGTCCTATAGGCTTGCTAACAAGTCAGAATTCAACTTGACAGCATTTGGTATGTTTTGTTTTGGGGTATGACCTTGTGTATAGTCTCCGAATGATGCTGACCTGGCAGCACCATGGAAGAAAAGGTCTGGCAGTCTGTAAAGGTTACAGTCAAGGAAACCTCTGGGGCAGTTCTATTAAGCTACATATGGGCTCAAGATATATTACAACAGACTCTATGGCAATACGGTGTGTGTATGTGTTTGCATATATTTTTATTTAATACCTCTGCTCAATGGGGGTGGTCAGGAGAGAGGATGGAGTATGGATGAGGTGTATATATGGAAATACTATACATTTCATTTTGTCTTACAGTCTTTTGAGACTAGTCTTTATAAAACACATTTTTTCCTGTCCCTGTAGCTTAATACAAATATTATTCAAATTCACACACCAACCACTAAAACCAATGATGAAGAAATTGATCAGGCAAGCAATCAAAATGCACTGATAATTACTTGTGATTATCAATGTGAAAGTCAGGAATGAAAAAGAATCTGTAGCTTGAAAATATGGCCTTGGTGATAGAAACGATGCTGGAGATCATATGATAGAATTTTGTAAGACCAATGACTTATTGATTGTAAATACCTTTGTCGGCAGCATAATTGGTGACTACATACCAGATGGTGACGTTTGTTCCTTTTCTCAGGTACAAAATCGACTGCATTTATGGAAAGAGATGATGGAGAAGCTCAATATCATTATAGTGAATGGTCTAAAATCAGGAAAGTTATGTCTCAGAGTTTCATCCTTTCACCATACTTACTAAGTCTGCATGCTGAGCAAATGATCTGAGAAGCTGGAATGTATTAAGAGGAAAGTGACATAAGGATCTGAGGAAGACTTATTAACTTGATGCATGCCTTGAGGAGTCCTGGTATGGCCCTGTGACATAAAGCACTGGACTGAAAAAGGTTTGAATCACAAGGTTGTCGGTTCAAACTCACCAGCTGCTTCTTGGAAACCCTATATAGGGTCATTATGAGTCAGAACTGATTCGATGGCACATAACAACAATATATGCATATGACACAACCTTGCTTGCTGGAAATGAAGAGGATTTGAAGCATTTGCAGATGAAGACCAAAGACTATATTGTCTTCACTATTGATTACACTCCATTGTAAAAGAAAACAAAACTCTCAGAACTGAAAGATAAAAAACATCATGATAAATGGAGAAAAAAAATGAAATTGCAAAGATTTCATTTTACTTGAATCTACAATGAATGCTCATGGAAGCAACAGTGAAGAAATCAATCAACATAGTACATCAGGCAAACCTGCTGCAAAACACCTCTTAGTTAAAGAGGTCATATATTATTTTGAGGACCAAACCGCACCTGACTCAAGCCTCGGTATTTTCAATGGGCTCATATGCATGTGAAAGCCACGCAATGGCTAAGGAAGATCAAAGAAGAATTAGTGTCTTTTGAATTATGTGGTGGGCAAAGAATAATGTATATACTATAGGCTAACATAAGAAGGAACAAATCTGTGTTGCAAGAAATACAGCCAGTATGCTCCTTGTAAGCGAGGATGGCAAAGAGAAGGACATCATGCTTGGCAAAGTAGAGGGTAATCAAGAAAGAGGAACATCCTCAACTAGATGACTTGACTCAGTGGCTGCAACAGTGGGCTCAAACTGTAACAATTGTGAGGATTGGGCAGGATCGGGCAGGGTTTTTTCTCTTGTACATATATGGTCGCTATGAATCGAACCAACTCCAAGGCACCAAACAACTCTCTAAGGTTAAATAGTAAGAACTTTCCAATAGCAGTGAACTGTGTAACATATGCACGGATCCTTACTAGTGTTGGATGTGGATACATTACACTTAGCTCCTCATGGCCTCTATTGACTGGCCTCGAAAGTTGTCCTGAGGACTGTCATCTGGATCGCTTCATAGATTGAATCAGAAGGGTTGTGAAAAGACTTTTGAAAGTGTATAACGCTAAAGGAAGGTGAGATACAGGTGCTTGCAACTTTTTTCCAGGAGATATGCACATCTAGTTAGCTGTGATGCCCAGATAGTTTTTCGTCTTTCTGCACTCTGCCTCTCATCTTCCCCGGTCAATAACTGTCCCGAGAGGACGTGATGCCCCACCGAAGTCCACCAGGTCAGAGATCCGAGAAAGGCCTTTCGGGGTGGAGCAGGGGCAGGGCCTGACCCAGCACCTGGCAACGCCGCGGGTTGGCGGAGGAGAAGGTTGTTCCCTGAGCGCGGCCGCCGATTGGCTGCGGGATGAAGGGGCATGACGTCCTCAGAAGTTGAGCAAACACCCCCTCCAGCCCGACCCTATCCCAATTTTTGCTGGGAATTTGGAGCTGGCCCTGCGCTGACTGCGGCGGGGGTCAGTCGGCGCCCAAGCAAGGACCAGGTGAGGAGGGGGCCGGGCCGCGCCGAGGGGCGCTGGGCTCAGGCGGGCTGCGCTTGGAGATCGTTGCCTGGGCTCGGGCGGCGCCCGCACAGGCGCAGGCGCGGGCTTGGTCCCTACCGGGCGGCTGAGACTGGGCCCACCCGGATCGTGGTCCCTCAGACGCAGGAGGAGGTGGAGGGCTTTCGGGCCGCGCAGCCAGGCCTCCTTCTGAGTGTGTTCCTGCCACTTGGAGAAGCCGTGGAATTCTGTAAAGGAAGGGGAATGGATGGCAATTCGGATTCCTTTTCATATGGGGGAGACTCGACGTGTAAGGGGTTGGTGTTGAAGCTGGAACACTTTATTTCGAACTATATGACTGTTCGGGGTGTTGGAGATTATGGGGTTAAACCCCGCCCAGGCTAACCTCCCCTCCTTCTGTCCTCCCCCACCCCCCAGCCTTCACTCCCCACCTACCCACTATCCCAAACTACCCTAGGGCACCTTTACCTGTTATTCAAATAACCTCTCGGCGTCTGCACGCTTAGCCCAACTCTGGTGAGAAACTTCCCGCCCTGTTCATCTCAGGCCGGAGAGGGAGGCCCCCAGCAATTTGTCCAGACTCTTAAAGAGAGAGGTGGAGGAGGAAGCTAGACGCGTTGCGTGTCACGGGCTCCTGATCTCTTGCCTCCGGGTCTTCTAGGGGCTTTGTGAACCATTAGAGCAATTGTTCCCCACTCTGCTGAATGGAATGGGGCTAAGTGATGATTTCCCACTGGCTTCAAGGAGAGAGAGATAAGGACAGAGTTAGTTCAGCATTTTTTGATACTGTCAGTGACTGGAATGTAAAGAAGATGTAGCTGTTAGCTATACATTGTTTTCTGGGTACAGGGCTGAATGAATGGTCTTGAAGTCAGACAGTAGCGTTGCAATGCTTTATTAAAAAACAGTCACTAGTGGCACTTTGTGTGTGTTTTGTCACTTGTACTCCCTCCCTTTCCTCACTGAAAAGATAGCTGACCTCTGACATTATCAACTGGTGAGTCTGCAAAGCAAATTCAGGGGACAAAGGTGACTCACAGCCAATTTTACGGAGTGACTTTCCCAAGCTTCAGAAAACCCTATTTGTTACCAGTTGCAGGTATTAAGTTAACAGTGTGCTCATAAATATAATTTTATTTATTTGTAATTAAAATATCCCCCCACCCCCACCCTTTTAGCCCTTTATTTTAGCATTAACAGACCTTGGTCATAATACTAAATCTGTATAAGCAGTCCTCGTTTTTTAAAAGCAAAGTTATAAAAAATTTAAAAAAATTTTAAATTAATGTTCTCATTACAAACAATAAGTTTTATAGTGAGCCCACAAAGCATCCTGTATAATTCTTGGAACTCTGGAAACATTCTGCGTATGCAATGGGAGATAGCCACAAATGTTATTACCATACTCACTGAATCTAAGATGCAACCAAGTAAAGTTTGCATTCCTGTTTCTGAGCTGCTAAAAAGTGAATGGAGTCCTGGTATAACTTTGTAAGATAAGCACTGGACTGCTAACCGAAAACATTGGTGGTTCAAATCCAGCCGCCGCCCCAGACAGGATGGATATGAGTCGGGATTTACTCAACAGCACTTAACAACTAAAAGTGAAAATTGGACTTAAATTTGATGGAATACAGTATTAAGTGGTAATAAACCAAGGAACCCGAAGACAAGAACATAAGATAAATATTCTTTATCTTGAACATCCTTGCCTAAAGGACAAAGTTGAAGAGAGGACTCATTGGGTTGTAATTTTTTTCCAGAAAAAATATAAAGGAAGCATTAATATGGAAATTTACTACAAAGTAACAAGAATGGGATCCTACATCTTCTGTTAGGACCTATGTTTTGCTCAGCTTTGTGGAGTGGGAAGGTTTAAAGCCTTTTTCTTAACATTTACTAAGTGTTCTTTGTGTGCCAATTGCTGAGTATTAGTTCAATTAAACTGTACAGAAGTCCTGAGAGGTAGATACTAATATGATTCCCATTTTGCAGATGAAGCATAGAGATGTTAAGTTATAACGCTTAGTGAGGGAACTGAGACTTGAACCCAGGCTTTTTATGGAGGAAACGAGTCTATATTCCTTTGAGTTACCCATCTGTCGCAAGCTTGGAGCTCCTAGTCACTGTAGTTAATGCAAGTAGCTAAGATGATGTCCAGGCTTCCACTATCATGGTTTTTGGTGTTTTGTTTACATGTTCAGTACACTTTAATCAGATGTTCTAAGTCAGAATGCATATATGGTTGAATATTAATGCTTCTCTTATGCTCTATAGTGCCCAAATGATTTCTGTGCTTTATTGAATCAGAATATAAAGCCGAAAAGGACTTTAATAATTATATCCTAGTCTCAATGAGAAAACTGCATTCAAGTGAAGGGATCCATAGCTATTTATATGGCCCAGGTCTGACTTTCCCAACCATATTTGATACTATTCAATAATCTGAGGTCTGAGCAGAGAGCTGATATTTGTGGGAGATGCCGAGTTCCTGTCTTTGTTGTTACTATTAGGTGCCATCGAGTCAGTACTGACTCATAGTGGCCTTATGCACAGCAGAACGAAACACTGCCTGATCTTGGGCCAACCTCACAATTGTTGCCACGCTTGAGCCCATTAATGCTGCCCCTTGGCCAATCCATCTAGTTGGGGGTCTTCCTCTTTTCCTCTGACCATCCACCTTACCAAAAATGATATCCTTCTCCAGCCACTGGTCCCTCCTGACAATATGTCTGAAGTTTGTGAGATCAAGTTTGGCCATCCTGGCCTCCAAGGAGCACTCTGGCTGCACTTCGTCCAACATAGATCTGTTGGTTCTTTCGGCAGCCCATGGCACTTTCAATATTCTCCTCCAACACCATAATTCAAATGCATCAATTCTTCTATGGTCTTCCTTATTCACTGTCCAACTTTCATATGCATATGAGGTTATTGAAAATACCATGGCTTGGGTCAGGCTCACCTTAATCTTCAAGCTGACATCTTTGCTTTTCAACACTTTAAAAAGGCTGTGTTTTTTGATCTTCACCAGTAAATATTTTAAGTCCTCTTCATTTTCAGCAAGCAAGGTTGTATCATCTGCCTATCACAGGTTGTTAATGAGTCTTCCTCCAATCCTGATGTCACGTTTTTCTTCATAGAACCCAGCTTCTCGGATTATTTGCTCAGCATACAGGTTGAATAAGTATGGTGAAAGAATACAACTCTGTCACACACCTGTCTTAATTTTAAACCATTCAGTGTTCCTATGTTCTGTTCGAACAACTGCCTCTTGGTCCATGTTCAGACACCTCATGAGCACAATTAAGTGTTCCGGAATATTCATACTTTGCAATGTTGTCCATAGCTTGTCATGATCCACACAATCGAAAGCCTTTGCATAGTCAATAAAGCACAGGTAAACATCTTTCTAATATTCTCTGCTTCCATCCAAGATCCATTGGACATTAGCAATGATATCCCTTGTTCCACAGCCTCTTCTGAATCCGGCATGAACCTCTGGAAGTTCTCTGTCAATGTATGATGTTCTTGATGTCATCTCACAAGTCTTCTGGTCTTCAGCCTTTAAAGTGTTTAATGTATCAAATCTGTTCTTCAGATGATCTCCAAATTCACATGGGATCTATTTATTCAAGGTCATATTTTGGCTCTCGTGGACTTGTTTTCATTTTCTTTAGCTTCAGTTTGAATTTACAGATGGGTAATTGATGGTCTGTTCCACAGTCTGCCCCTGGCCTTGTTTTGACTGATGATACGGAGTTTTTCCATCATCTCTTTCCACAGATGTAGTCAATTTGATTTCTGTGTATTTCATCTGGCGAGATCCATGTGTTATGTCCATCTGTTATGCTGTCTAAAGAAGGTATTTGAAATGAACAAATCATTGAATTTAAAGAATTCTATCATGTGTTCTCCAGCATCATTTCTATCACCAAGGCCTTATTTTCCAACTACTGATCCTTCCTCTTTTTTTTTCCATCCTTTGCATTCCAATCACCAGGAATTATCAATATATCTTGGTTGCATGTTTGATCAATTTCAGATTGAAGAAGTTGGTAGAATTCTTCTATTTCCTTCTCACTGGCTTTAATGGTTGATTCATAAATTTGAATAATAGTGGTATTAACTGGGCTTCCCTGTAGGCGTATGGATAGTATCCTATCACAGACAGCGTTGTATCTCATGACTGATCTGGATATGTTCTTTTCGATAGTGAATGCAACACTGTACCTTTTCAATTAGTCATTCCCTGCATAGTAAACCATGTGGTCATCAGATTCAAAATGGCCAATACCAGTGTATTTCAGCTCACTAATGCCTAAGATAAGGAGCTCTGGTAGCGTAGTGATTACGAATCGGGCTGCGAACCGCAAGGTCAGTAGTTCGAAACTACCAGCTGTTCTGCGGGAGAAAGAAGAGGCTTTCTGCTCCTGTAAAGATTTACAGCCTCAGAAACCCTGTACAGGATCACTATGAGTTTGAATTGACTCTACAGTACTTAACAACAACAACAACAACAATGCCTAAGATATCAATGTTTATGCGTTCCATTTCATTTTTGACAACTTCCCAGATTCGTACTTTGTACATTCCATGTTCCGATTTTCTATGGATGTTACAGCTATTTCTCTTCATTTTGAATTGTGCCCCATCAGCAAATGAAGGTCCCGCGGGCTTTACTCCGTTTGTGTCATCACAGTCAACTCTACTTTGAGGAGGCAGCTCTTCCCCAGTCGCATTTTGAGTGCCTTCCAACCTGAGGGCCTCATTTTCCAGCACTATATCTGACAGTGTTTCTCTGCTATTCACAAGGTTTTCAGTGACTAAATATTCAGAAGTAGTTCACCACTTCTTCTTCCTAGTCTGTCTTTGCCTGGAAGCTCATCTGAAACCTGTCCACCATGGGTGACCCTGCTAGTATTTAAAATACCCACGGCATAGCTTTCAGAATCACAGCAACTCACAAGCCACCACAGTACAAC